CCTTAAAGAAAATGAATAATAGAGAAACCCAACCACCAGCAAACTAATGACCAGAGCTAGTGAACTAAGGTCTATCAAGCAGGGTTCAAGATCACTTAGGCTGGATGACAGCTGATATATTTGCAGTACAGTTCATCTGTTTTCTTATCTGGTAAAGTGTTCTATAATAAATCATAATTTATTGCATGTTTTGCAACTTTGTCAAAGGGCACACCTAAGATTTTTGCTTCAGTAATAAATTCCATCCAACTGCGTACAGGAATTCACTTGACAATCTGGACATAGCTAAAATATTTTGGTATTTTCTAACATCAGCACTTTTGATCTAACACCAACAACTCATCCGGTTTACACAACACCACATTTACTTTCTACTCAATTCAATCATGTTTAAAAACTAACAGGAGATTTCAAAGTAATTCTCCAATGACAACCACCCATGGGCAAAAAACTGTTGGCCAAGGACCCCTATTCCCAACCCAGAGCTGCTTCTCATCCCCCTTTTCGCTTGCCTTTTTCTCTTTTGGGAGTGTTTATCTCTGAATAGGAACAGAATGCTGTGATCACTTCTTGGTGTACGTAACTAAATTGCTTGTGAGGTTGGTCATATGTCATATGTTCCTGCATATAGTCAGTAAAAATAAGACAGCAGAAACGAAATTTTAGAACAGCTCTAAGCCTTCCATATTATTATGAACAGCATGCAATTGGCAAACTGCAAGCAAATATTTATGAAGATAAATGGTTACTGCCAGGGCGCTTCAAATTTCTCAGAGAGGTGTTTTTTTTCTTTATTAGCAATTAATCAAAAAGAGGTAGAGAATGACCAAATCATTACAGCTTGAGGTTCAGCATTATAAGACTCACCATTTGTATGCAGGATCACGTGTTAAAATTACATCTCTGCATGCAATAAGTGAAGGGCTTCCTAGGATAAGTGGTGGCGTGCTTGTTTTCCTATCTAAAGGCACTGTTCAGGGTGAAAGGGAATTAATTTTATTATATAAGTAGATGGTTTCCAAAAATAACTGTTGCTTTGCTATGAAGTTCACTATCTTGATCTGCTCTGGATATACCAGGACAGACACTTGAGATAAATCTGTTTATTTTCCTTGTATGAAACTCTTCTAAACATGATGAACAAACCACTGCTTTTACAATACTTCAAGCACCATATTTCTCTGCTATTAAATTCTACGTCTGTTTGCAGTCACATGAAAACCTAAAATCCCAAGCAATATGACTTCAAGAGAACTGCTTATCATTGTGTTTATGCTACTGGCCAAAGAATCCACAGCAATGAAGGTTAAAAAAAGTGTTTAGGAACATTAGATTCAAGTATTAACATTCTTCTATTAATTGTCTATGGTGCTATTTCTGCAAGCCTGACCTCAATTTGAAATGCTAAATATGCATTAGTGCAAAGATTTTTTTCTTGTCATTATTTATTCATTTCTGCTTAATGCCATTTCCTATTCATATTAGCAAAGTAACTGAAATTAACTTGGCTGCATTACAAATCCATGTTAGCCGCATATCACTTCATTAAAAATCTGCATGTGTACGATTATAGTTGGAGTAACCAATTAATATGTATGAACTGCAAAGACTGGAAAACACTCATTTCTCTAACCTTGTTTTCACAGACAAGTGTCTGAAATCCACACCTTCAAAATTAAAAATTTGTGTGTTCACTGTATTTCAGGCTGGAAAACTCAAAATAATAGAATCCCTTCTAGGTTTTTAATGTAACGATTTCAGTTTTGAAGGGGAAAGAACTCTAACAGCCATGCATTAAAAAAATGCAATATTTTTAGCATCTCCATGACTTTCAAGGTCATAAAGGACTTATATTCAGCTTTGTTTAATATTAGAAATTGTGTGTCAGCAGTGAATCCATGTATCCTTATCACCAATAGATTTTTCACAGACACAAGAAACTTCTTTTATTACAGATACTTGTGCCCTATTCTTTGACCACTTGCAGCTCAGCAAACTGTTCTGCCCATTGTTTTTCACAGATGTGAATCAAAGTCACAGGTCTGATTCTTCCTTTCCACAGTATCTTGAATTCCCTGGTGCATTTCCTGTTCAATATCCTCAAGTCTCTGTGACATTTGCTGGTAGCTGACAGAGCATCCCAGGCTATGAATGGCTTTTGCTAGACTGCAGCAAACAACTATTAAAGTTGGGATGTTCCCCTCTCTCCCTCAGCAGAGGTACTAAGAGAGTATTTGTTCTCTGAGTGACAGTTCTCTCTGGAACTTGAGGAACCTAATCTTTCTAAAGCAAAAAAATACTGAGAAAACTGTAAATCACGATTTGAGAAAAAAACCATATAATGTAAAAAAATTACTGTAACATGGAAATTACAGATGATGATACAAAGACAAAATAAGCTTAAGGAATGGAGCAGAGTTAATGAGGCCAGAAAACTAGGAGAAAAGGAGGACAACAACCTATGCACTTTTTGTGTGCTGTCCCTACCTTCTCCTCAGAAAGCAAAGTGCTTTTTAAAAAAATATGCATACAATTTTGATTTGCTCTTAACTAGGTTTTGTATAAATCACAGGAGATTTGAAACCAGAAACCTAGAGCTGAACTCTGTGCTTCATTACTCTCATTCAACTCACTCCCATCACTGCCTCTTCTAAGAAAAAAGGTCATAGAGTACTTACTGGTGAAGTGGATAGACAGATAACAGGGCCAGGAATGGTATGAACACTATTATATTACACTCCTTCTATTTTCTGTGGCATGTAAGTAATTGAGGAACTACATACTGATCAGACATACAAATTACACAGAGATGTCATCATCAAGTCACCAGATTTCTAAATCATCAGCCTCCCTTCACTTCTGTAAAGGGTAATGGTGTCTGTGACAATCTGTATGCACAACATTTATATATTGGCTTCTGCTGATTATTGTAAGATGGGACCTTATCCCAGTGATTTGCAAATTCCATCTCTAAGGGGACCTGCAAATTTCTTTCCCTTCACAAATACAATGATAACAAAACAACTTACGTTCAACTTCATCAAATATTACTGAGAACAAGAAATCTCTTGGTGTCATGTAATATTCTCCTTCATATTCCAATGATGCAAAATGCATGAAGCGGTGCTTTCGGAGAGACAATCTTTCATCCACTTCTGCATGAATGACATCTCCCTTCTGAAAAATAAAGAAAAAAAGAGCCATGCAGAAAAACTGCTGCATTTGTAGACCACAGCTGTAATTAGAAAGAATCCTATACCTAATCTTGAATAAGCTCAGGATTTTGTGAGTAGCCACAACAAGAGACTACCAGGAATTAAAGCTTTTATGGCATGGTCTTAATGCATGACACGCTTATATGACACTCAAAATATTTCCTGGCTTCACTGAGATCATGCTTTAACAATACACACAAGCCAAATTAATGGCTTGCTGTCACCAAAGGGTGCTCTTGCTTCCCAGTCCCCTGCTCTTGGGTGTGTGGTCCTGTCCCTCCTTGTTTGCCGGCTCTGCTACTTGTTGTACTCTTTCTGAGCCCAATTCAGCTCGCTAGTGCAACAAAAAGAACTAAACCTACCAAACAGCAAACAGTTTTGCGAGGCTAGTGACTGGCTCAGCAAAGGCTGAAATGTGCTCTGCCTCAGTGCAAATGACCCAGTCCTGAAGTTAATTATAAAGTTGTGGAGCAACTCCTAAGATGAGAGAATAATGATGTTCTAGCTTAAGTACAGGCCTATGAAAACACCAACAAAAGAGTCACAGATCCTATCACGAAACCCAAAGATTCAACTAGTCAAGCAAACAAAAAACTTCCAACTTCACCCTCTCCCCTTCAATATTGAGCGACTCAGGATTGAAATCATAGCAGTTGACTACACACTGACCAGTAGTAACAGCACTTACTGGCAACAAGAGAGGACACAGACAGTGAAACAGAGATGTTTATGTTTTGGGATTTCAGAGATAGCGACAACTGGAAAACAAGAAACTCTAAAATTCAGAACACACACTGTGCATATTTGAACAGTAATCAAGGAACTATTATTACCATCACATCTTAAGGACTTATTAAAGTATTTCAATGAACGATACAAGCGCCTTGTTATAGAAAATTTTACTTTTCCCTAGTAGCATGCTTGCTTCCCTCAAACTTCGGGTTTCAATGAAGTGAGAGGAAGGGACCAGCAACAAGAAAAAACCTCAAGTACTCATAATTTAGATTTAAAACAGCCCTATTCTGATATGGAAGGAAAATGAGGGCTACTTCTAAATATCTGAAGCCAAGATTTGATTTTGTTTAGATAGAACCCTTTTGTACCACTCTCACCACTTTAAGCTTCTTACACAGCACAGAGATTCATCATGGCCTACAACACAAGTGCACTGGTGCTGTTCAGATCTGTGAGTTCTGGAAAACACTGTTTAAAAGTAACTAATGCAGCAAGAACTTTAGCTTCATTCTTTTTAAAACTTTAGAGGACAAGTGACTCTGTAACTGCTTAGTCAACAAGACTTAACAGACATTGCAAATACCAAATGAATAGTTCAGAGTTGCTGGGTATTAACATGCAGCATTCTTAGGAAAATCATATTCTCATAATAACAGGAACAATTTTTGACTGACAGCAAATTTGAAAAAAAAATGGGAAATCGCTTCACAGTTGTCCTTTAACTAAAATTATGGAATGAAAAGCAATCTCTCTGCACAAATAAAAAATAGAAAAGATTAGACAAGAAATAAAAAGCTAATCCTACAACATCTTCAAACCAGCTGAATTTTCAAGTTTCTTAAGTCTTACAGTATTTGTCTGAATTCTGTCTAAAGCCAATCTTGTTACTGATATCAAAGCACTGAATTTCAGCAATGCACAATTTTAAGTGAAATAGACAGGTACAAGTTCACATATTAACTCTGAAGAATGCCTTGTATTTGGAAAATAACATACCCCAACACAACTACAATGATGTGTGGCTGTGGATTCATTAAACCCCTTTCTTTTCCTGAAACTAGCATCTCTGATTTGCAAAACAACTTTGGCAACTTCTTATGAAAATCAGCTTCAAATACTAGCACAAATGAGATAAGGAAACCTTACAGGACAAAATGCATCAGCTGTGCTCTCTCCTACTCTGTTTTAAAAGCTTTTGCCAAATTCCTGACACTGTGTCACTGTATGTGAAACTCAGAGTCTGCAAGGAGCACTCTGACCCCTCTGGACAGGAGCACAAGCTCAGCCAGAGCAGCTACATGTTCTTTTAAAAACCGTGTCCCTTTCCTTCACCATTGTTTCCTTCAGTGACACCTATCTCTCCGTGTCTTCAGGGATTGCCAGACCCACTGAAGACAGTTGGTAAAGGATGGAAATACATGGGAAGAAGTAGAAAGCTATGGATTTTTTGAAAATAGATTTCTCCCCATTTGTTCCAAGAAGAGATAAATGACTGAGTAGCTATTCTAATCACTATTCCAAATGCCTAACCAAAGTTTAAATAAAAATTATGTTATGAAGAAAATTAAGATTGATCTTCTTTTGAAGTAGCAATCTGAAGTGTGCATAGGGGAGCAAGCTCTCTCTCAACAGTTCAGCATCCTTCCCGCTTCAATTAAATCCTGACTAATTTCCAAGTACTTTCCTGAGTCATCCAAGAAGTCCTTCAGATAAAAAAGATTTGACATTCCTGACATTTCTAAAAACACTGTCCAAGCTCATCTTGCTCATAAAAATGCATGCACTGGGCAAAAAGCAGAGCTTTCCTTTTAAATTCTTATTCCACAAAGCGAGCTTCAAGTAAAGACAGGTATACTGTAGGAAACAATTATGTATTTAAGGCTGAACTTCAGATATTAAGGCATCTGTAATCTAACACCTCAGCAGTTTCCAACACTGCAAACTCAAAGTATGCTGGAAACAAAAATTCAAATTTCTGAGAGGCAATGGGTGTGAAGAATCTATTACTATTGCTTGCACAAGACTCTTGTAAGCATAATTTAAAATAATTCTGAGATTGACTTGTCTTATTTCTGTCTTTAACTGTGCCATATAAGAAGAAATCAAACCACAAAGAGCTATGCGGCATTAAGGGCAAGGCTTGGGCTGAAATTCCATCCTTAACTTGTCCCATTGTGTGTGAGTGCAGCCAGGGCTCCAAATGCTGGGTGTTCCCACATCCTCCACAGCACCCCCACAACCAAGGGAATCGAGAGTGAAGTTTCAGCTTTAACTAGGAATTCAGTTGCCTTTGTGGTTTTATGTCAAGCCCCCAGTGCCAATTTCAGAATGTCCATGGTAAAGCGACGATAGTTGACGGTAAATTAGAACTGAAGGACAGAAAAAGGGCTCTAGAAGGATGCAAGTGTTTTGCTCTGCAGTCGACATGGCAAGGGATCAGCAGCTGACCAGCCACTGGCGTCTACAAGCATTACTGAAGACTGGTTTTTTTCTCGGCTTCCTGCACTGAGAAATGCCTAAGGGCAACAACACTACTTCATACAATCAATTTTCAGTTTGATACAATTAATCTGTTTATCAGTCTCTTAATTTAAGATGCTAAGAAAGAATTCATTGTGTTCAATCTTTGGCTTTGATTTTTTTTTTGCATGAAAAATAGCAAACTTAAGTCACGTAAAACCCTTATGTTTACTGTATCTTTGAACTTTTAAAAGGAAATACATTACATAGAAATGAAGGGTTACATAAATTAAACCTTGATAACCCTTACCTGTGTTTTTGGTAACATTGTTGATCACTGTGATGTGATTTTTGTTAACAAGTATTTGTGTACAAACATATATTTGCCCCCGATTATTAGTCAGAAATGACTTAGAATAGCATATACACTCACCTCGCCTCTCAATTCAAAATTATATTTTCCCCTTTTGCTCATTTTACTTTTTCTCCCTTTGCACATAATTTGTTTTCATGTTTTCCATCTTAATTTTTCCTACTTATAAAACACAATACACTTTCCAGTTAATTTTTTCCAACACAATTTTTCTTTCCTCACACTACTTCTTTTCGTATTAACTATTTATTTTGCCTCTTTGTATCCTTTCATTGCCTTCCTTTCTTCCATCATCTATACACCTTTCGCCACTCTCCCTTGGAAAAAATTAAAGGTACAAAACTTTTTTTTTCTCCTTGTCTGAAAAGAGGATCAATGCCTTTCTTTTTCTTTCTATAATCTGAAAGAATTAACTTGTACCACTCATTTTACCTGCTACAAGAATAACTAAACCAATGTGTGGGATGTAATTAAAATCCAGTTGGTGCCAGCAGGCTCTCTGGGAGCCTTAGCTTAGGATCCATTAATTCACACTAGATCTACAGAAGGATTTAGCAACTCTGTATCAAATTTCTGTAAGACCGATGAAAAGTTTGCAGTTAACTAGTGTCATTATTGTATCTCAATTTCAACTCCATCCAATTTGGAATGATCAAAATAACAGAAAACGTAACTTGACCCAGAGCCTGCTGCACGTGTTAACATACCCAACACGCATGCTGAACGCACAGAGGAGAGAGCTTGGAGCTCAAGGTTGGAAAGTTTCATATGATGCAATAACTGATAGATGAAAAAGACAAGAAATCCTTTTGACAAAAATATATGACTTACAGAAAGCTCAATATCGTAATATTTAAGAAAGTTATGGCATAAGTACGTGCAAAAGTAGTTTGTCCTTTGACAATAAAGAACGTGAGTCATGTATTACATCCAGCCTTGATCTAATGCACCAGTTACCAAAACCAACATCAAATTAAAGACATAAGATCAGAATCAAAATGTTCACGTGAGGTGAATTGATCTGTATTCTTTTTTTTCCATGTTATTATTTCTGACCTTGCAGATCAAACTACTAGCCTGGACATAAAGTAAGCCAGGAAAAAAAAAAGCACTGAACTTACAAAGAACTTACTTGTCTGGAAATAAATTTTAAGTATTTGAATGACTATATAGCAACGTGAAACTAAATAAACAACTACATTACTAAAAGCCCTAACAGTCTTGAAATCCCTAAACATGAAAAGGACAATGGATTAAAAATACCTTCTCAGGAGCTGCTTGTGAGACAGACAACAGACTGTTAAAAGAAGGACAAGCAGAGAATGAGAATGCAAAGTCACATGTCTGGCTGCTCTTAACACTGCTGAAAATAAACACTCAAAAATTAGATGAAGCCCTTTCTATGCACTAACAGGTGCCAC